ACCTTCGGCCTCAGCCTCTTCTTCAGCCTCCTCATTCTCTTGGTGAGGGGCAGTACCAAATTCAGAGGACAACACTCTGTCCAAGTCAGCTGCCTTGGCCGAGCTTCGGCTTTGGAAACATGGCCGCCCCCAGCTGAAGGAGGCTCTTCAGAAACTAAGGGGATTTTACCCTTGTCTTTAGCAACGGCCTCCCTGGTTTCCGAAGAAGGGCCACTGCGAGGGGGCAGGTCGGATGGTTCGTTGATAGAGATCCCAACTCTTGGCTTGGCCGACCTGCTATGTTGGAGATGGGGTGGTAAGGGACCTGATGAGGACGGCCCAGTAACGGCTTCCCTAAAAGAGGAAGGAGGTCTCTCACAAGATTGCAACCCGGCCGATTGTCTGGCCGAGCTGGCTCAGTGTGAGGACGGAGGCTCATGGGTCGGCCCGAACACCCTAGTTGCAGAAGAGACGCCCTGTGCACGTTGGCGCTCTTCGAAACATGAAGTTACTTCCTCGTCCGACCAATGAGTACCCGTGGAAGCGGTCGTAGGAGTAGTAGAAGGAGTTTCTAAGTCAGTATTATTTGGGTCATATGGAGTCCTAGGATTCACTAGACTGCCGTTTGGGTTTCTGGCTGCATGGCGATCATGCATCTGCATTTTTCTTGCCATGTTTGACTGCAGGGACAGAGAAGAATAGGTGGAGGTGAGTTGATACGCACTAGAAATGGACCCACTCCATGAAGGAGACGACCCGTCTCCGTCCACTCCAGACTCCTCAGTCCCAGGCGAACGGTCGGCCTCATGAGGAGAAACGGACGAAGCCGAGTGTTGAGCTATATTTAAAAAATGAAAAAGTAAAAAATAATAATACAAGTAAAGAAAGGAAAGAAAACAGGCGGTCTACCTCTGTACGTGTAGAAAACTTGAAAAGTCTCGAGGGCTGACCGAAAAACTCAAAAATGCGCCCGGAAAACTCAAAGGCACGACGAATCTCTTGAAAATTCAAAGAAAACAACACTTTCTCTCTCTAAAAGCTCTGATCTCTCTCTAAAAAACACAAAGTTTCAAAGTGTGAAAATGAGGTCAAAACCCTTGTATATATAGGCAAAATTTATGGGGCAAGATGGTAAATTCACCTTTTCCGCCTAAAGAAGCTGAACGGTTATAATTTGAAAAATTGACCTAGAAGTTGAGGTGCAAAAGCACAACGCCGTTAGAATGAACGGAAAAGGAGACGGCCTAATAATGACGCGTCTAAAATAACGGACAAAATAGACGAAACTAAAGCTTCCATCTCAATAGATAGACGTCCGCTTTTCTCCGAAAATCGAGGCGGCTTACCCTGTCCATGTCTTTCTCAAAGATATGTGTCCGCTAGAGAATTTTTAGGCGGGAAAAAGCAGTATGCCAAATCCCAATACATTCTACGCATCAAGGCGAGTAAAAATCAGAGGAGGCGACCGATATGGTACGAGCCACCCCCTCTGAGGGGAAAATGTTCAGGGTAAAAATACCCCATGTACGTGGACCAGTCCCTTAGCGACACGTGGCCAGTCAAAGGGTGACACGTATCACTATGGGAAGACACCACGTATTCAGGGTAAAAATAACCCTGTGTGTGAACCAATCCCGTAGCGACACGTGGCCCAATCCTAACTACATCTCTTTCTTCCAGCATAGTCGTCAACACTCAATACTCAAACAAGCACAATTTCACAGCATACCCATAACTCATCAAAACTCAATTAACTCACGACCACTGTAAATCGGTTCCACCGTCAGGCAGCGATAGTCGTCATACACTCCATATATGCTCAAACTAGCACAGCTTCACGCGTAGCCGTCAAACACTCACTAATTCGCGAGTTTGACTCAAGCATAAAACAACTAAAAACATACGAGCTCGAGCCGAGCCGAACTTGCGGTGGGGATTGAGTAGTAGCAATAGTGGTAGTTGCAGTGGGGATTGAGTAGCAACAATGGTGACAGGGGAATTACATGGCTTTTTTATTTTTATAATTTTTAAATTAAATAAGAATAGAGGTTTTTTTTTAATTAAAGAAAAAATAAAGGAATTTTTCTTTTTGTTTTTATTTATTTTATTGTTATTAATAGGGGTGTTAAATAAAATTTTGACATAAAAAAATTTAAAAAACAAAATAATATAATGAGTAATAGTCCCTAAACTATTGGTGACTAGGATTAGTCCCTAAACTTTTGCCTAGAAAACACCTAAAGTGGTGAAGGAGGGACCAAAAGTGCACAAAAAAGTTGACAGGGAATAAAAGTGCACAAATACGAAAGTTTAGGGACTGTATTTTACCTTTACTCTATTTAACACCCCAAATTAATTTGGAAGCAAATACGTAGTATAAATTCTCTCTCATGGTTATAATTAATTTTATAACAAGCATTATTGATTTTCAAAAACAAAAGACAACTCAACCTAATATAGAATTTTATAACAAGCATTATTGATTGCTTTAGTAAATAACTAGGGATTTTCCATCACACCCTGGGGTGTGAGGGCCTTGGGAGTTTGCTCTAGTCCAATTTTTAAAGTTGGTTTTCTTTTCTTCTAACTCTTCCTGTAATGGAAGAGGATAATCTTTCATCGGAAATTGCTACAAAGTCTAATGATGTTATTATGGAGGAAGTTCATATGGTTCAGGATAGACAACATAACCAGGACACTAATGTTCTTAGCATGGTTGTTCCTAAAAAGGTTATTTCTAGTAAGGTAGCACCTTCTCAGCCTATCTCTTTTAGGGAAGCAGTTGCTTCATCTTCACAGTGGTTTAATGAAGCTCGTAATATTATATAACTGCTTTGGATTGGGAGGAACAATCTAAAGAACTCCCATCTACTGATTTTGCAGTAAAATTTACGCCACAGACTCTATCAAGACTTCGTGAGCCTTGGAAATTAATATTGATGGGACGTTGTTTGGGCTTGAATATAAGACCATCATTTAAGGCTGCTCGAACTCGCATTATGTGGAGAGTTAAGGGTTCTTTGGAAACTGTTGATGTTGGCAATAATGTTTACCTTTTTCGCTTCTCAACAATGGATGGTTATGAGCGCGCCTTGTATGGAGGTCCATGGTTCATTTCAGATCATTACTTAATTTTATCAAAATGGAAACAAAACTTCAGATCTTCTACGACTAACTTTGATGTTATGTCATTTTGGATTCGTTTTCCTGAGTTACCAGTTGAATATTATGATAAGGAAGCCTTATTCCAAATTGCTCAAAAGTAGGTATTTCAATACGTGTTGATTATGCAACTGATAAGCTTGCTCGAGCTCGTTATGAAAGGGTTTGTATTGAAATCAAAATGTCCAATCCTTTGGTGACAAAGGTATGGGTTGGAGGTGGATGGCAGCACATACAATATGAGAATATCCACTCTCTATGCTTTAGTTGTGGGAAAATTGGGCACCTTTCTAAGGATTGTAAGCAAGTGTCCATTTCTGAAGTAACTGCTACTTTGCACGTTATGGGCCCACAAAGAAATTTGGATTCCAATGTTAAACCCATAACTTAACCTATGTCACAACATTCTCACCCTGATGTTCCTAACCATATTCCACCTGCCTCTGTTCCTATTGCTCAAGTGGGGGCCCATGAAGGGAATATTGCTGAAAATGTTGATGGGTATGGCCCATGGACTTTAGTTACTAGATCCAAGAAAGGCAAGGCTAAAGTACAATCCAGTACAAAAACTAGCGCCAATTTTGTAAATGGGAAGAATAAAACCCACAGCTCAAAAATTCAAACTCATAAGCAAATAAACCCCAGTATTAAAGCTGCTCAGCGCTCTAGGCATTTATGGAAAGCTTTGTATGATAACATTTTGAGAAATGAACAGACTCAAGCCTTTATTGTTGCTGATTCAATGTCACCTACTTCTGACCAATGCAATAAAGACACTGCTCATGCCTCTTCATCTAAGTTAAACTCTGTTTGTACTCCATCACAGAAAAAGTTAACTCCTTCTAAACGCTTGGTTAAAGTGTCAGATGCAAATCTATTGAAAGATACTGCTTTTCCTATTTTACAGCCCGTCCTTTCTTCTGTTTTTTCCACAAAAGAAAACTCTACTCTTGCATTGAATGCTTTAACTCTTGTTTGTACATTTTCATCTACTTCATCTCTTACTGTTCCTCCATCTTTTTCTTTGTCTTCTCTTAATTTATATAAAAATGGAAAAAGAAAAAAATCCTGGTACCATCTTCTCTGACAGTGACACAACCATTACCATCATCAAAACCCCTCCCCGTATGGAAACCAGTTCCAACGAGGAAGCACCCAATCCCATATCTCCCTCCAAACATAACCCCACCTCCATCTCACCTCTACTCCTCATCACCTCTGAGGAATCTGAATTTTCCAACACCTCAAACCTCTCCTCCTCCATCGTTGACTTATCAATTCCAAGGGTCATCCCTGGTTTGAAATTGGACTTACAGGGATGCTCTCCCTGTGCAGACTCAACCATCGACTCTCTCAATTTCCCCAGAAATTCCCAGCCCAATTTGCACTCCAGTGAGAATTCCAACCACAGTTTCTCTACTAACAACATCATGCATAGCAGCGATGGATGCTTTGAGGCGCAGGGAGGAGGAAATGCCCCCTCATGCGAGAATGAGTCTGCCTCTACACTGGCCAGCTCACGAGAGGTTACTCCACTTCAGGCGCATGCACGAAAAGTTACCAGTTACTCCCTTGCAGTGTGTAATAGAAGGCCAAAACATGGCTCATCAAGGTCACCATATCGTGATTTATCTAACTCAAGGGGAGGTGCTAGGAATGCAAGCACAGGTGTTAAGCTTGGAGGATCCTCGACAGAATTAGCTCTAAGGAATTACATATCTCCGATAAAGATAGAGGACATTCATGGACTGGGCCATTGGAACCACTGGAAGGATTGGGAGTAATTCTTTCTTCCCCCAAATCATCAACCAAGTGATATTCCTAGATTATCTCCTCAAAAGCCTCTGCCAAATTTGAAAATGAAGCTCATTGTTTGGAATGCTAGGGGAGTAAATAATGATGATTTTCTATCTCATGCATGGGGTCTTGTTTGTACTCATAAGCCTGATGTTTTGATCTTGTTAGAAACAAAGTTTGATGCTGGTAGAGCTGTTGATCTTAGGAAACAACTTAATTTTTCTGAGAATAAAGTTATTCCTGCTAGGGGGCTAAGAGGAGGGATCTGTGTTTTTTGGAAATCTACTCTGGATTCACTTTACTACACAGAAGATGAACATAAATTCCACTCCCTTTTTAAGTTCCATAATCATCAGCCTGAAGTGTTAATTACAGTGCATGCACCTAGTATTCCTAGGCAAAGACATTCATTTTGGAATGATTTGAAGTCTAATCTCCCTCCTTCATCCACTCCTTGGTTAGTTGTTGAAGATATTAATGAAGTTACCTCCCAGGGTGAAAAGCGGGGAGGAAGAGCTTTTAGGTCTTCTTATTGTAGGGACTTCAACAATTTCACCGATGCTGCTGGTCTAATGGACTTAGGAACTGTTGGAAACCCTTACACCTGGGAAAATGCTAGATATGGAAGAAGAGTTATAAGGGAACGTCTTGATCGTGCAATCACAAATGCAGCTTTTGTAGAAGTTTTTCCTCAGGTAAAGGTTACTACTCTTGTTAGAAAATATTCTGATCATAATCCAATTTTGATTAGTCTATGTGATGATCCTGTGAGAGGTCCATTCCCCTTTAGATGTAAAGAGGTTTGGTTGCAACATGATAGATTTAAATATTTCTTTGTGTCCCATTGGAAAGCCACTGATCAATGTCAACCCTTGTTGATTGGTAGGAATAAGTTTCTTTCTTCCATTCCTTACTGGAACACAAATGTTTTTGGGAATTTGAATATGCAAAAAAAGATCTTATTAGCTAGACTCAATGGCATTCAACTTTCTTTAGCAAACAGATATTCTAGATTTCTTGTTAATTTAGAATATGATCTTATCCATGAGTTAAATCTTATCTATAAAAAAGAAAGGGTTATTTGGGCTAAAAAGGCTGGCATAAATTGGAGTAAATTTGGTGATTTTAACACCAAATACTTCCACACTCTTGCCAAAGCTAGGAAAAGTAGAGGGAAAATTTAAGCCTTGAATGATGCTTCTGGTACTTTAATTTCTGATCAGTTGATTTTAAAAGATTTATCCAGGAATCACTTCATTCAATTATTTACAAGCTCAAACCCTTCTTCTTCCCTTTCTATGTCTTGCGCTCAAATCATTACCCTTGAGTTATCTGACCAAGAGTGTAAACACCCATTTGTGTCTCCCCAAAACCAAACCCAGTGATGAGTACCTTTCACGTCGAATCATAATCAAATGAAACGAACGTGTGGAAAAGTCTAGTGTTGCGGAAAGTTTTTATTTTCTTTTCTCTTCTCTCTGTTTTTGAAAACTTTATTTTAAGAAAACAGCCAATCCAGTTTGGTTGTTCCATGATATGGGTCCAATAATGGTGTAGTTGGATGGGGCTTGCAAAGACCTTTCCTATGATATATTATAAGCCCAATTCCGATGAATATTGAGGAAGTTATGGCCAATTTACTAAACTGGGCCCGATTTGAGTTTTATGTGCGGCTCAATGATCTAGGGGAGAGCCTAATATGATTTATCATTCCTAATGCAATTAGGAATGGTTTTAGTCTTCTAGAATCTTCTAGAAAGTTCTCTTCATTCCTAATTCAATTAGCATTAATAAGTTGACTTTGTTGACTTTTCAGAGTTTTAATCAAAATCAAATAGCATTTTCGAAGAAATTATATTATTTTATCCTCCAGTACGGTAAATTTATCAGATTTTCGAAAATGCATCGAAATCAAGCTTGGCGTCCAACCCCACGCCTTGGCGCCTGGAACCAGGCTTGGCGCTAGGCGCCCTAGCGCCTGGCGCCAGCTAGCCAGGGTTGGCACCAGCTCTGTTTCCTGAGCGTCAGACTCTGTTTTGTTAAATTATCTTTTTTGGCTGATTTTCTCTATAAATATCGTATCAAAAACTCCGTTTTCATTCACCAATTCTCCTCTTTCACAAGTTTTAATTAGCATTCTTTAATTCATTCATCGCTTTCATTCATCTTTTCCAAAACTTGGTTTTTCTCATACAAAATTCCGCATTCACAAGATCAAGAAACACCTAGCCATATTCGAAGTTGCCTTCGCCCTAGACGTGAAAGGTTTTTAATTTCTGAGGGTTTGGTCCCAAATCTCTATTTCAATTATTTAATTTAATTGTTTGTTTATTATTTTCCTTGAAGTTACTAACGTGTGTATTTTGTTATTAGAAAGAGGTACGAGGCATCAAAGTAAGTGCTTTAATTGATTTAATTGATATTATGATGTAGAAATCATGTTTATATTGTTATTATGATATTCCTAGTATCATGTCTAGGTTATTTTTAATATTAAATATGATTGCTATGATGTCGTTTATTCTTTTCCGAATATTTATTCATGTTAGTATCATGTTAGGGTTAAAGATTTGATTTTTATTGCTTAGTGACATGCTAGGGTTTGTTATTAATCTTGTTAGTATCATGCCTAGGATCTTGCTATGTTTATTATGCTTTAATATTAACATGAACATGATAATTATTATTATTGGTATTATTATGATTATGAATATTATTATTATTATTTTGATAACGATTATAATTATTGTTATGGTTATTTATTATGTTGCTTGATATGTTATTGCTATTGCTTGATCACCTTTATGCATGTTAAAGGGAATTGGTACTTGTAATCGCGCTTAATAAGATAATTAATAATCTTGTTAGGGTTAATGTGATTATAATTCAAGTGATCGCCAATAATAGTTTATTTGTGCATTAATATTCAACCAACATAGATAAACAGGTTTAGGGTTAATCCTATTGATTGCATGTTAGTCAGAAAGCGCACATGAATACGAGCATAATAAAGTAGAGGCATATTATTAGGGCAGGTTCAATCTCTTTTAGGTTGGATTTGTACCTTCATCCCCGAACCCTTATTTGGTTCATGACCTTATGGAGTTGACGATCTCTTGGATCGTTAAGGGGTGTAACCTTCACCTCGTGAACGGTTTACAAGTTCCTTTAAAAACTTGTTGGCGACTCTTATGCTCTATCTTCTTCCCTTTTGGACGCCACCGTACTTTAGTGTATGATCACAGTGGAGTTCAAGCTAGTGGGATTTTAAAGGCTTGAAATTATTCCCTACAGTTTTTGGCGACTCCACTGGGGAGGATTTCTATTTTAATTCCTGAATTTGTTTCGGCAATGATTTAGAATGAGTGGATGAGACTCGAAAAGTTCTAAGTATTTCATGTGCGTAATTTTGATTAACATTATTGTCATATGCATAAAAAGGATCTCATTGGAAAGACCATCCGTAATGAGTCAAAAACATAGGATTTTACAAGTAGGAAATTTGAGAAATATCTTTCACAACTAAGACTGAAATAACACCGCGCGAAACTGGAATATTTTATCGAGCACAGAAAGCTGTTGAGGCATGTGGGAATTAGCGTCAGGGGCCAGAGCTTGGCGCCAGACTTTTGGTCGTAGCGCCAGGCGCTACAGTTAAAATCTGGCGCCAGTCTCTGTTTGTTGGCGCCAATTTCCCCCAATACCGAGCTAAAAATATGCGTTCTAATTTCGACCGGTTTTTCGTATTGTTTGCTCGATCCTACTTCCTGATTGAATTTTTTCTTACTTTTCTGAAACCCATATGTGTTCTACATATGGACATAACCCTCTGGAAATTCATGCTCCATCTACCCGATTTAACGCTCCGTGAAACAAAGGGTACATCTGAGATGTTGAATTCACCAAACCATGGAAGCGAGTTTTTTCTAAAACTCGCGGTGTCCCATCCACTCGCGCCAACCCTTCACGGTTAGGCTTCAGCGCAGTGCATCCGGACAATTAACCATGGACCCTCTTTGACTAAACTATATCCCGAACTTTAGAGAACTAGAGCCATGGTTAGTTTCCGAACGCATTGCATCATATTATGCCTACTTGACTAATTGTGCATTATTTGTTGTGCATATATATTCTATGTTTCTCTTAACCGTTTGTTGATTTGTGTTGAGAATTAATAAATTAATGACTTAAAGAACTTTGACTAATTAATTAATTAATTGATTATTTAATTTGAGTCAATAAAGTCTAATATTTTCAATCGGAATTGACCTAGTACGACTTTAGGCTAACCCCAGTTGACTAATAATACCGAAAACAGTCCCAAACCGAAGCTCCACTATTAGCACCAAGGTCTGAGCTGTAGCGCCACACTATGGTGTGTAGCGCCTGACGACAGCTAAGTTATCTGGCGCCAACCTCCATAGTGTGATGCCAGTCGTATTGGTTGGCCGACACTTCGGATTATTTGTCGAGTCATCACCTAAAGTCTAATTAATCAGTTTTCTGTTTAATTCGGTTAATTTTGCTGTCAATAATGTTTAATTGAATCAATGATCGATTTTAGGCACTAAGTCCCATGGTCTTACACAAGAGTCCAAGCATGTCACTTACACTCAATGCACACACCATGATTAAGAGAGTCTTGTGTGCGCGTTTTTTCCGTCATTTTTTTAGTGGGGTAAGTCGGATATTAATCCTGCAATATAAATAATAATACTTAGTTCCCTAAAATATGTACGTTATTTTTGCCAAAAATATGCACCCTTTTTTTAAAAAATATACCTTAAAGTCAAGTTGATTCGAGTCAAGTAATTAAAACGCAAAATGGTTTAATTTACAGCGCGTGGTCAAGAAAAAAAGGACGATTAATCAAAGATAACCTCTCGTACAAGTCCAACTTTTCGATAAACCTATAGCTCGCAAGAGGAAAGCAAGGGTTATAATGGCAACTCAAGAAGAAGTCAATGATCTTAAGAACCAACTGGCCACTGTGACCGAGATACTGAAGCTTCTCGCACTTAGGATCGATGATCGCGTGAAACAACAACAAATGGACCTCATGCAAGAGAGCCTAAGAAAGTTGTCTAACGACTACAAGTTTCAAGAACTCACATCACAAGGGGTCTCGATGGATAAAGATCTTCTTCCGCAGAAGTTCAACGCCAACAACATCCCAAAATTCAGAGCAATTGACAATCCATACTTCCATTTAAGAGCATTTGAAACAATAATGAGTATCAAGGGTATTGATAAGAAAGTCTTCCCTTATCTTTTCTCACTATCTCTCGAGACCGTTTGCCAACAATGGTTCTTTTCTCTCGAGAAAGAAAAGACCTCTACTTGGGAGTCTATAGCAAATGCTTTCGTTGATAGGTACAAATGCAACATTCAAGTCGAGACTGACCATAGAGAACTTGAAATCCTCAAACAGAAAGAGAATGAAGGCTTCACCTCTTTCTTTAACAAGTGGAGAGAAACCTCAGCTAAAATGATTGAGGTACCAAGTGAAAAAGAGTCTGTGAGACTGTTTATCAAGAATCTCCAAGAAAAATATTCCAAACATCTTAAATATCAAAATAACCTCCATACTTTTAAGGTTGTTTATGATATTGGGATCAATATTGAAGATGACTTAGCTAAGTCAAAAGCTGCCAACAGTATCTCCAACAGTGGTTGGAAAGGAAAGAAGAACGACAATCCTTCTTCTTCCAAAACCGCCCACTCAAATAACGTTAGTACCTTTAATCTAGGAGAAGTCCTCGCCATGAACAACTAAGGACAGAGGAAACCATTTAGGAGGATTTTCACTCCTATTGGCATGAGTTATAACATCGCATTTGATCGATTAAATGCAAAAGGTCTTATAACTCCCATTGGACCATTTGGGGATCCACCAGTTGAGAAGAGGTTGGTTAACTGGAACCCCAACGCACACTGCAAGTATCACCAAGGTAGGGGCCATTCTACTGAAAGCTGTTAGAAGCTTAAGGAAGCTATCCAAGACCTAATTGACAATAACAAACTGCCGTTGCCCCCTGCCAGTAAGAAGCCAAGCATTGACAATGCACGTCTAGCTCATACTTTGGCTATCTCCGATGAAGAAAACGAGGTTGACCCCTCGTCTCTCATTAAACCTGTCGAAGAAATCAATGTCATAGAAAAAGAAGAGGAGATCTTTTTCGAT